TCATCTACAAATAACATGCACTAATGCACCACCCCTTGAATGTGCCACGTCAATGCGTCCATTTCTAAGGAAAACAGAAATGGGCTAAGTGCAGATCCCTGATGCAACCCCATCTCAACAGAAAAGTATTCAGAATCCCCTCCTGTTGTCCTTACCCATGTCTTAGCTCCATCATACATGTCCTAGATCACTCTAATATACGCTGCTGACACTCCCTTAGCCTCTAAACATCTTCATAGAACCTCTCTCAGGACTTTGTCATAAGCTTTCTCTAGGTCTATGAACACCATGTGCACGTCCTTCTTTATCGCTCTATAATGCTCCACCAATCTCCTCACAAGGTGAATGGCTTCAGTAGTCGACCGAACCGGCATGAAACCAAACTAATTCTCGAAAATAAACACTCCTCCTCATTCTCCCAAATTTTCATCGTATGGCTCGGCCACTATCCAAACACAAAAAAATATTTTTCTAAAAATGTTTTCTATTTACCAACCAAAAATAAAAAAATAAAAGTTTTTAGGAAATGTATATTTATATGGATGTCCATTAATCAAATATAACTCTCACTACTCTTCTCCATTATGTAGATAACCCCCACTACTTCTCACCATTATTGTTGTAACTCCCGCACCTCTATAACCTGCCCATGATCTTCCTCCATGATCTCAAATGCTTAATAGCATATTTATGGAATTCTTTTGGTATACCACAATGTTGTACTATAAATAGAGGATGAGAACTCATTTTGTAATATACTTGAATACATGGAAGAAATAAAAATCTCTTCTCTCTTGCTCCCTACATTCTTGTCTATTTTCTTATTTTATATTTTTACTTTAAGCTAAGTTTCGTAACACGTTATCAGCACGAATTGCTTATTTCATGATCTTCTATTTCAAGATTATGTGGTAGGTGTTCTTTAATTTCCATGGCTTTGGCCATACCATTTTGGCGGCAAGGTAACTTTATTTTAATTTTTCTTCACAATGGTAAGTGTTTATACAATTGTACTATACACAAATATTAAATTTTATGTTCTTTTAATCCTAAGAAATTAAATCTAATATGAAGTTGACCATACGTAAGTTTTTTTTCTGATTTCATTCATCGCAATGGTGTTTTTAGTGTTTTGCGGAAATATATGGTATTTTGAGATCTGAATGCTTAATAGTACATCAAGCTGTTAAAAACATGGCTTCGCGCTGAACTATGGCAATAATTATGAAGTGGTAATATTTTAAATGGTTCCATTCCATTATGACATTGGTTAAGGGAAAGACAGTGGGTTCAAGTCCCAGCGCACCATAAGGGTAAGACATCGGGTCCTGATGCACTATGATGATAAGAGTTGGATTTGAGTCCCAACTCATTATGGCCTAGCATGTTTTATATGGGTAAGGCATTGGGTTTGAGTCCCAATGCACCATATTGATGATCTAATGATGACTAATGAAAAATAATATATTTTTCATTAAAAAGTATGAAGCTTGTCCCACTTGATTTGCTCAATTCTTGAAGTGAATGTGATAGCAGTGCATAATAAATCTAAATGAAGACAAGTGGTTGACTAATGAACGTAGGCGTGCCAAAGACCAAAATAATAATAGTCAACACTATGATAATTATAAAAAGGAGAACAATAAGGGTTCTTAAAATAATCCTTCAAAGGTGAAGGAATTGTGTAACAATATGGTCTGCAAATATGAGGCACGCTCAGACGATTATAGACCATTTTTTTGAAAGTATGCGACGTGCGATAAGCATTTTAAATGCAGACTCATGTCTGAAGTGAGTGTGAAAATATATATATGTGATACAAATTATGCACAAGAATGTATTTATGCATGCTTGAATAAATACTACAACTCACCTCTATGGGAGGTTTGAGAGAAAGAAAGATCATAAACATTACTATGTGATTACACAAATATGTCATTGGTCGCGTACACGTGGTACGCCAAAAATATTTTACCATACCTTATAAAAAGTTATTAAAGGCAAAAGTAAAGCAAGAAATGAGTCTTGTCTATAATGTTTTTAATTGTGGCAATGATAAGGTAATTTTTTGTGTGGAGGAAATATTCACCACTTGATGGTGGTATAAAAGATCTTGTAGTACAAATTATTGAGAGCTCCGAAAGAGCGAATTTGTTACTACCCGAATAAATAAAATTATTCATGGCATTAGAGGTAGTAAGTCTCAAAAAGGAACTTTTTGAGTTTCAAATATATTAGCCAAAGTGGTTGGCATATTGAGACTATAAATGAAAGGAAAATTGAATATCTTCATATTACTATAATCATACCGGGTAAATATGAAAGGTTACCGAATTTTCTTCTATTTGTACTACAGATGTATAAGCATGCTGATGGAATCACATGCCATAGTAAATTAAATATTTACTGAAACAAATATTAGTTGGCACGACCGGTTGGCCATCCCGGTTCAATTATGATGTGAAAATTAATTGAGAATTTACATTGGTATATATTGAAGAAATAGAAAATTCTTCAAGAATTCTCTTGTGCTGCTTATTCTCATGATATGCCAGTCAAGGTTGGGATTGAATCCCTTAAAATCTGGAACGAATAAAAGGTGATATATATATGGGCTCAGTCACCTGCCATGTGAACCGTTTACTATTATATGATTTTAAAAGATGCATTTATTGTATGGTCACATGTGCATTTATTGTCAACTTGCAGTTTGGCTTTTGCAAGGTTGCTTGCTCAAGTTATTAGAGCACAGTTCTAGAATATAAATTATGATAATTTATTTTGATAATGCTGGTTTAAATCAAAGTTGGTTTAGCAGAAATTGTACGCCTCCAATTAAGCTAAACCATTGGTTAGGAGAATAAAACTCCCAAATCGAAATTTGGTATGAGGTATATTATTTAATATACAACATCACTTGTATGCATCTAGCCAATAAGTTATGATAAATTCTCCCTATCACAATTGGTTCAGGGTCAGGAACAAAATAATTTCTATATAGGAATATGGATGTGCCATATGATATAATTATCCCACCACAATGCACAAAGATTGGTCCCCAAAGAAGGTTGGAGATATGTGTTGGTGATCCCAAGATTTGGGGTAGAAAATGAGCAGCTGAAAAAAGTAATACATGGAATGAATTATTATGAGTACACTTAGATCCTCGTACAAGAAAATGTGAACTTGAAGTTCAAGTGATAATTCATTTCTAAAATATTTCCAGGCACATTGCTGACCCAAAACTAAATGTCATATTCGAGGTGCTAATGCTCCAAATAGAATAACGTCCATGATGGATAGAGTTTATGACATCGGTTCCAAAGATAAAACTCCTTGAAGAAGGAGAGAGCAAATGTTCAAGATGGTCATAATAAGGAGGCAAGTGTTTTATAAGAGCACCATGACATAACATTTTATAAGACCTCACGGGAGAGGCTCAGGTACCTGAAAATAATGAGATCTCGATAAGTTATGTCTTTATTGTGTGATGATGGAACCGATGTAAAATGATCATCGATGATATTGTTGATATAATGTAGCGCTCAATATTTTTAATATTGACGAGGATCTTGAGCTCAAATCTGTCATGGAATTTGTACAGATAAATGATTGGTTAATGAAAAATACACAATTAAGGTTGACTTCACTTAGAAAACGTGAAGTTTTGGATTGATAGTCCCAACACATGAAAGTATAAAGTCAGTGGGATAACACAAAATTTTACGTAAATGTCCTAGTATTGATTATATGGAAACATGTTCCCTTGTAGATGGTACAATTGCTTTCAGATTTTAGTCTGGCAATACCTGATAAATTTGATATGCGTATATAAAAATCATTGAAGGATTTAAACTGTTCTAAAGCATATTAAGGTTTCCAAGAAATTCATTAAATAAAACTTCAGCAAATCCTTATGTGGATTAGAGCAATCATGGCGTACATGATTTATTGGTGCACTATGTATCTTGCTAGAACCACAAGTATAACAATATGCTAGCGAGATATACTTTAATTCCTATATAAAGATACCGGAATACTATTATGATTATATTGCAAAAGAAGTCCTTGATATAGATTTGCTTATTCTAACAAATATTGTCAAGGTTATGTTGGTTATACAAATGCAGGGCATGGTTCGTTGTTCAGATAATCTATTTGGCTGTGAGCGTAATGCCAAATTCTGATATTCAACAAGATTTCAATTACATTGAAGATGATTCTGCATGCATAGCTCAATTGAAAGAAGGACTATCGAAGGAGACAAAATAAAACATATTTTACTATAGTTCTATTTCAGACATGATTGGTGTTCAACAAATTTGTTCAAGTGATAATTTGGCAAACTTCTTCACAAGGCATTGCCAACCTCAGCAATTGAGAAGTTGTTATACATGATTGGAATTTATCGTCTTTGAGATATCAAGTGATATTTTTGTCAGGGGGATTATAGCACGTGCTGCACTATTTTTTTCTTCGCACAGATTTTATCCCACTGGGTTTTCCTGGCAAGGTTTTTAACGAGGCAACAAGTAATGCGTATTACAAGATATGTGCTCTTTTTCCTTCACTAAGATTTTTTTCACAGAGTTTTTTCTTGGTAAGGTTTTAACGAGGCACATTATCTATGGACATCCAAGGGAGAGTGTTAGGAAATATATATTTATATGGATGTCCACTAATCAAATATAACTCCCACTACTCTTCTCCATTATGTAGATAACCCCACTACTTCTCACCATTATTGTTGTAACTCCCACACCTCCATAATCTACCAATGATCTTCCTCCATGATCTCAAATGCTTAATAGCATATTTATGAAATTCTTTTGGTATACCATAATATTGTACTTAAATAGAGGATGAGAACTCATTTTGTAATATACTTGAATACATGAAATATCTCTTCTTTCTTGCTCCATACGTTCTTGTCTATTTTTTTATTTTATATTATTACTTTAAGCTAATTTTCCTAACAAAAATAAAACCACATTGAAAAAGAGAGCTTGTAAGCACAATTTCAATTCCAACGTTTATTGCAAAACAGTACTTCCTCTCACTCTCTACCTCGGCCGGTGTTCCGGTGGAAACCCGATGAATCTCCGAGCTGACTTCACGTCTCCGAGCATATCTCCAGCCGGAAGTAATTACTCGAATAGACCTTGTAAGCATCTTCAGTCTTCAGTTCAGGACTTAGGGTTCAGGTTCCTAACTCTAATTCTCTCTTGAATCTTTGTTCTTATTGGAGTTCAATATTTTTTTTTGCACCTAATATTAAAGTTTTTGATTGATTCAGCATTCTTCCCTCTTGCCTTTTTTTTTTTTGACGACATTGGTAAAAATTACCCCCAAAACATTGCCTTTTTCGTGATTGTGTATGTTCAGGGTTTCGTTTTCAATTTTACTGAGTAGAATTCTATCAGCGCCTATTTTAATTGATCTTTTCTTTTCATGAACCACACAATATGATAAATGGACCCTAAGTAGGTTTTGAAGTAGGTTGGCAGTCAGCTTAAAATTCCTCAAACTATGTTGAATAGAGCATGAATGGATATTCGAGGACTCCTATAGCTGTCAACTAATTTAGGATTGACGCGTACTAGATGAATTCTACTGACTTTTATGGTTTTGGTCATAATGAATCTAAATGATTATTTAACTGTTGCATGAAAATTAGTGTTTTCATAATTTGACTTTATATGTTCTTTGGATGCAAGAATGGCATCTACTGGACAACCACAGTCAACTTTGAAGAGACCTAGTTCTGCAGTTAACAGAGAAGGAGATAAACTCATTATCACTCCTTTAGGGGCTGGAAATGAAGTGGGGCGGTCCTGTGTTTACATGTCTTTCAAAGGGAAAACAGTCTTGGTAGGCTACACGTCTTTGTCATTCTTCTTCAAGATCTTTTTTTTGGGCCACAAGTTCTGAACTCGATTAATTACATTTGATGTTTTTTGGCAGTTTGACTGTGGCATTCATCCAGCTTACCCAGGCATGGCTGCTTTGCCGTATTTTGATGAAATTGATCCTTCAACCATTGACGTTCTTCTCATTACCCAGTAAGTTTTCTGTGCCTTAGTTCTGTAATGTTCATTTTATTGTTTGAAAGATTGTGTCTCAATACAGCATCTCAGCACAAGTTATTTTTTTTCTTTCTATTTTCTTTTTCCAGCTTTATTACATGACTGGCTTCTTAAACTTTTTCTTTTGTTTATTGTTTTCCTCTTGGTGGATGATTTTGAATGTTGAGTGTTAATTCTTTATGGGAAAATAGCAGTTTTGGTCCTTGTGTTATTGTTTCAGTTCTAGTCCTTGTGATATTAAACGAAGCACATTTAACCTTTAATTAAATAATGTGAGTGTTTTTGGTCCCTTCACTAATGGAATTTGAAAAACAAACTGACAGCTAAATATTAAGAAGCGCAATTCAGACATTTAAAAAATTTCAGCTTGGTTTTAAGTTTTTTATCCATGCGTCCATTTAGCTAAGTAGTGGGTTAGTCAGATTGATATTAAGTGGCAATAAATTGAATAGGTATTGCAGTGCAGTACTTCTTCTCCCAATGTGTTCTATTGCTTAAACGGATGCAAAGCTCATCTGAGCTAAATTCATGGTGGAGCCTATTTGATTGTATATTGATTTGATTCTTTATCAAGTTCATGTTGCTAAAGGCTCCACAAGAAGAGTGGTTAAGTTTCAACGCAAGAAGAAAAACAAATTATAAAGACGAAAGAAGATGCACAACTAAGTAGAATTAATATTATCGGCTCTTATGTTTGGGTGATTCTATGTGTTCTTGGTAGAGCTTTTCACGGATCTTCTTATATAAGAGGAGTCAGGAAAAAAAGGCACTGCCATTAACCAACTAAAAAACCTAATCTTTCATTGAATCCAAATGGAAGATGGGAGGAAAAGGGTTTCTTTGCTGGGAGACTATGCAAATTAAAATGTTAGAATTAAGTTATTCTTTTGTGAGGTTTTGTTGCTGAAAATCGTACCAATAATATCCAAATTGCATCTCTTAGTAGCTACTGTCAGTTGTTTAACTTGTTTTTTTAAGTTACTTTGGTGAAGGGAACAAAAACCCTCGTATTGTTTAATTAAAGGTTAAATGTGCTTCATCTAATATCACAAGGACTAAAGTTGGAATTAAGTGATAACATAAAGACCAAAGGTGCTATTTTCCAATTCTTTATTGTTCTGCTCATTTAAGGTTCAAACATAAAATGGGACAAAGGAGATAATTTTTTATATCGTTCTCTGCGCTGACTTTCATATTTTTTATTATCGTGATTACATACTTAGAAGTTGAAAAAGAAGATTTCTTTTTTGTGATTGTACTCACATGTTTGGAAGTGCACAAACTTCAATTGGTTTGAAGTCGTCAATGGACTAGCTCATCATTGTTAGAATGGTCCAGATAGGGGACCAATGCTTCAAAGAGCCATTGACGAGTTATTAGAAGCAAAGTGGCCAATGTTCAGAGCAAAAAAGCTTTACTAGATAATCCCCGCTACCTTTCATTGGTACAGGTACTAGGTAACATTGTTCATAGATGGTGAGAAATCACCTGGTATTTTGCCTCTACTAGGATTATGAGAGTGGACTAATCTAGTTCATCTTATTATCTATTCTATGTGGTTCTAATTTTCAGTGAACTAGTCTTAGTGTACGTGCGTTGTGCGTGTACTCCACCGCAATGGATTAATTTTCTTAAAAAATCACGTAAGTATTATTTTATAAAATAAAAGCATAAGCTCCTGAAATTGATGAATGCTAATCCTATGTACCCTCTCTACCTTAAGAAGGTAGGGGTAAGGTTTGTGTATGCTTTACCCTCCCAGACCCCAATGGACACCGGGTCTGTTGTTGTTGTTGTTGTAATAAAAGAAAAAACCATGTCTCATGGAAGTCCTCCATCATCATTTAATATATTTATTTGAAATTTTGTGCTAGTTTTACAATTTTATTAGCTTAATTTCACTGTTTATCATACTTCCTTTTTAGTTTTAGCAAAGACTTAATCCTTGAACATTTAAGGGTTGTAATGAAATTTTTCTTAAAAGGCTATTTTAAAGTTTATTCGAGAAGATAAAAATAGGGTTGCTATACTTGTATTACGATTCTTAAAATATTGTCAAGTAACATAAATTGAAGTTGAATCTTATGCCTTCTCAATTTATTTTCCCTCAAAGGTTTCAATATTAACTCTGTAGTAAGCTTTTAGTTTTATACATTTTATCTTTTACTATTTCATCCTCATTTCTTCAAGTTTGCAAATTTTAACCAAGTTAACTCTTAATACTTTATTATATATAACCGATTTGTTCATATGGAAACAAATTTATGGTCTCTAAAATTTGGGTCAAACTTGAAAATGAATTTACTTTTATGAATTTGGGAAAGAATAGAATTGGATTCTTTTGCTAATTAGTTAATTCAAATAATTAATTATTTTTTTTCAATGTTAAAAAAATAATTTATTTTTTATTGATCAAATTCTTAATTTTAGCTCTGATGTCCAATGTGGCATGATGGCATATTTAAGGCACAATCTATCCATTTTTTCAGTGAAAACATTAATTTTTTGATAATCAGTAAGAAGATTAATTTAATTCATTTCATGGAACCCAGACGCTGCAATACACACAAAGGTCTGAAACTCTCTTAGCTAAATGAAAAGCACAATCTATCATCAATTGCTTCTCTAAGAAACATTTAATTCTAAGTTGCATTTAACACTCTTTGGGACAATTAAACAAAAGGAAACCAAAAGAGTCCAAAAGATTTAAATTTCCACTGCACGGCCCCTTATAGTCAAAAGAGATCAAACAACACAATCAGAATCCTACATTCTTGGTGAAGAAATCATGCCTTGATTCCATATTCCAGTTCATAGGCCAAGGAAACTTTTTTGTGTTAATGTTTCCATCGCATCCCCCAATTAGCTATACTCTACTCCTCCCACCATACCTTCCCACCACTAACACCTCACCTCCACCCCAATCCTACCTCCACGACACCTATTCCACCACAATTTAATACTTTAGCAAATTGGTTTTTATATTGATTCATTTCAAACTTTCTTTTGATAATTGAGAAATTCTCGAGGTCAGCGGTGCACGGTTTGAAGCTAAGTGGATGATGGGCCCACCCCTCTACTCCCCCACTTAAATACCAAACTTTTGTTTGGGGCACGGTTCGAACCTGTTGCTTCATTTGAACTTATTTTCATGTCAAAATGTTTAATTACATGAGAAAAAGAGAAGCTACCATTGAATTAGTAAAGAAACCGCATATGAAAGAGCTCCTCATATAGGAATCTAGGGTACATGAAATAAAGGGAAGTATCATAATTACTAACAAGTATTTCTAACATTCTAGGTGTTGAACATAGGAAACGGTTCAACATAACCTTTTACAATTTGAATAGAAGAAAATAACCCTGCAAAGATCTCTTGCATTTTAATTATAGACCTCATGCGTGTAAAAGTAAATATCTCTCGACAGATTTGGCATAAAACTATAAAGAACACCAAACATAATACCTTCTAAAATGACCTGAAGAGCATATACTGAGAGCTTGGGAGTATATCTGCCAACTAAGTAAGCTAACAAAAATAATGAAGAGATACATTGAAACTGTATTTTCTTGCAGATGAGAATATTGGCTTAAAAGCAATATGCACTGCAATTTGACTATCTTAAATCAGCTTCATCTGCATCGCTGTCCTAAACTTCACCTCCTCTGCCAACTACTTTAACCACAAAAGCTAATATGAAATCAATGTATATCCTTATAATCAACCTCTACACTTGACTCAGTAACTATACCATACTTTTTTTTAGGAAAAAGTTATTTTTTGAGAGATTAGTAACTATATCATTCTTATTTTTTGAGAGATTGGTAACTATACCATACTTAAAAGGGATTTCTCCCATTAAGACAGTTATTTTTTTTGATAAGGTAGGTTAAATCCCATTAAGACAGTTTCTCCCCCCTTTTTGATACATACCTAAAATATAATATCTGAATGATGATCTCCTGTTAGGTGAGCATCCATCAATAACCTATAATCTATGAAGGTTCAGGCTCAACTTCTCGTTTTAAGTTAGCATACCTACAAGTCAGTCCGGGGCTCTGTGATGCAATATTCCATATATAAGCAAGAAACTGAATCTTAGTATGTCCTCAATCTTCGTATACAAGTCCATGCACCATTAAAATGCATGCAACAATAACTATTACGATGATCCTGTAGGAACTTAGTATCCTAAATAATATCATCGAACCATATGATGAGAGATAATTTGGCTGATCAACAAAACCTCCTGCAGCATCCAAGATCTGTTAAATGCTCCCTTATCCTAGAAATAACTTAGCATTTGGTTCCATAATCTCAATCTCCTCTAAAATATCAAGGGCATGCTTCATATATCAGATAGCCACAAGTAAGTTGGACTGTGATACCACTGTTCCAAAAGTACTTAACACAATGTGAAACCTTATACCAGAGTAGGTAAAAGATGTTTCTTCGGTGCATAAATGTCAGCATGATGACATGATTGTCACCAATAATAATAACAATTTCATTTCCATAACGTATAATTCTATGGGATAAATACAAGATTACAAGTATACAACAACCCCATGCAAAGTGATGGTATGCCTTCATGATGATGAATCAATTTCATAAACGTCTGCATGACGACTAATCAGACACTGCTTGGAGATCAATCATGGGATGTTGAAAAACGAACCTCAATTTTGTCCATGGAGTGAATAATATCATGTTCATCAAATAACATATCTTCAACCGAGACTTTGCTCACTTTAACATAATTTGACAAAAGCAACTTGTATATGGCCTTTGTTGCATGAGTCATAAATACACGCCCTTTAAATGTAGTCTGAAAATAAAAGGAGCTAATATGAATCAACAAAAGAAGTACTAAACAGTTGCAAGTAAAAAAGATTTTGAACCCCTAAACAAACCTTTTCGAGGAAATAAGGAAGGGAGGCAGCATGATCTAAGTGAAAATTGCAAAGCATTAGAGCAAGTTAGTGCAAGCATTTAGAGTAAGATAAAAAGGAAAGGGACCAAAAAAATTCAGGATAAAAAAGAAACAGCTAAACAAATGGTCATCAGTTAATATGCATGTCAAAGGACTTGAACGCACTGTAGAGACAATTGGCGGGTGCACAAGTAATCTATATCTATACTATATTAAAAACACGAAGACCCTTAGCAAAATATTGTTCGCCTTTTTTGCCCTTTAAAAATAAAGTTCACATTGGACAATATTGTAATCAATTATTTTTCTAATATTTAGGATTTTGAAGTCAAATAAATTTTTTTAATTAAAGTTTACTTATTTGATCTATGTAAAATTCCTAAGATTTAAGAATTTGAGATTGCGTAAGATTTTACCTCGAAATTTTCTATTGGGCTAAATAATAACATCTCACAACTCCTTTCACGTTAAGTTATAGATAAATAAAATTTTTGATTCTCATAATATTCACAAATTCTCAAAAAAATAATTTTTAAGTGGTTCATATAAAAGCAAAGAGGCCAACGAAAACTAAAAAAGTATAAGCACAAAAAAAAATCTTTGTGGCTATCTTAACAAATTAATCTAAGCATTTTTGTTAAATCACCTTTGTTGGTTTTTCTTTCTCTTTCTTCACCTTTAATGTCAAAATATATTTTAAAGGGATACTCTATGGTTCTTCCTTTAAAAATATATTTTACACTAGACAAAATAGAACATCCGTTGAAATTTGGTTATTTAATTTTTCCTAATTTGAATTATAGCAAAAATGATCAATATTTTAATCCTTTGAAGATAAATTTATATTACAAATTATTATTTTAATACTATTAAATTAACTGTAATTTTAACTATTACATTTTTTTATTTGAATAATGTACAAACTCAAACCTTTAGGTACTTAAATTATAACATTAAAAATATCTAACTAAATTTAACTTTGTTATTAAATTTCAAAGGGTAAAAGGAATTTTCCAAGTTATAAATGCTTGGACAAAATTATTGTTATATTTTAATATTTAAAGCTTAGATGAGCTAATATGAATTTGAATAAACAAAAAAATCATTCCTTTTAAGTTGAAAACAAATAATTAATGTCTAAATTAATTAACTAATTATCAATTAAAAGTATCCAATGAAATTTATTTCCAAATTAATTATATAGGTAAATATTATTTCAAGTTGATAAACTCTTTGACTACATAAATATGTTTTTATAAAAAGAGCATTGGTAATGAACGGTATAAAAAATAAATCAAATATTTATTCTATAGTACTAAAAGTCAAATTGGTAAAAATATAAATTTAAAACAATAATAATAAAACAATAGTAGATAAAATGCATTCTAAATTGAATTATTGGTATTAATTTTTTTCTTTTCACTTTCATTTCAACACTTGGTAGCTCCCTATATATTTTATATATAAAATACTTTGGTAAAATATTAACGCAACATTAGTCAAATTTAAACTTTGCATCATTACCTATAAATTTTTTCTATGATCTACAGGGCAATCTCTTTATTTCCAAATCTCTAATATACCAAAAGATTTAACTTTTAATTTTATTTATTTGAAAAATATTTTTGTGATTTATTTGTTTCCGGCATTGGGTAAAAAATAAGAATTTTAAAAGCACAATAATATGGCATCTAAGGACTTTTGTGCCACAAGTTTTTTTCCGATTGAGTTAGATAAATGAGATTAACATTCATTATTTTAAACAACTTACCCTTTTAAAATTTTTATTTTTACATTATGTGGTTTTATGTACCCCTTGACATAAATACACGCGCAAAGCGCGTACCATAAGACTAGTTATATTAAAAGCATGAAAGACCTCAGTAAAATGTCGTTCGCCTTTTTT